TGTAGATCTCTCTGTCTCTCTCCAACAAGTGTACATGCCCTAGAACAATTTTTTTGCTATAGGGCACATGCACTCACTACAGAGACAGAAAGAGACAGACAAAAAGGAAAAAAATCACCCCCAGGGAGATAGCCACACTACAATCCCTTCTCCTCCATTTTCCTCTTGGATTTTGAGCACACATGCACATGCACCCAGTATGAGTTTCTAGCGGCTGGGTCTGGGACTCGAACTGTAGTCGACCACATGGGAGTCCAGCACCTTAACCACTACACCATCTGCAGGCCCCCTTATAGCAAAAATTTAAAAAGAAGCAGCAGCAGCAGCAGCACAACAGAACACATTGGAGGTGCTTCCTATCTTCTATGGTTTGCAATGTGGGAGGGTGAGGTAAACAAAGCCTTCCCAGGGAAAGCCCTTTCAAGGTAAACCTCTTCCCAGTCCGGGTTAACAAAAAGGCAATGTTCCCAGTAAACAGCATCCTATTAGGGTACATGCCATTGCTGCTCCAATGTTTCCCTTTTGGACAAACAGGTATCCCATCAAACTGATCTTCCTAAAGCACAGATAGGGTGGTATCACCCCTGCCCCAAAACAGAATCTAAAGTACTGGCCAGGCAATTGAGACCCTTTGTAATTCTGTCTTCACTTCCCTACCCACTTCCTCTGATCACCTGAATCCATCTTACTGTTTGTTCCTTCTCAAATTTTGTGAGGTATCCTTTCGTTACTGACAATCCCTGCACCCTCCCCCCTTTTTTACTCATTTTTCTGGGCCCAGTTCAAATGCCATGTCTTCTAGAAGCTGAGGCCCTCTTGGCAAGGAAGCCTCTGTCCTCTGAATTCTTCTGCACAGCCCTTGGGTGTTTTTCCCACAGTTAGAAGTGCTTTCGTGGCTACATAATTTATCTTCCAAGACAGAACGTGCTCTTTGAGGATAAGGACTGCTTTTATGCTTTTTTATACCCTTTCTCAGGACGGACTTAGCAGAGTGTCTCAGTTAAGTATTTGTGGAGTGCCTTGATAGCAAGTTTCATTCTGCCAGGGAACTCACTTTATTTTGTTGTATTACTTTATTGTACTGGTCGATTACAAATCGACTCCGAAGGCCACGTTAATGAAGCAGAAAACAACTCTGATATGAACATACAGGCAAGGTTTTAATAACCTATCATATTTTATGCACTGGTTCTGAGAGAACCTGGGAAGATCTGGACTTTTTTTTAAAGAATTATTTTTATTTAAGTTCATCTGTTATTATTTTTTTCAAGTGGACCAGAGAGAGACAGAGAGAGAGAGAGAGAAAATGAGAAAGCGAGTCGTACCAGTCTGGGACTCAAAGCGTGGTCAGGCATGTGGGAGTCCAGAGCCCTAACCACCACACCACCTGCAGGCCCCAGCTCCAGGCATTTGAACTACCTCACATTCCTTCCAGAATCTCACTCCAATCTCTTCGTCCCCCACCCTACCAGCTTTACCTCCACTCCACAGCACCCTGTTCAAAACCATGGCAGCTTTGTAGGTGCCCTATGACCCTCACTTCCAAATTGTTTCCACCCTTAACCCCAACTCCATGTTCTTTCAGGCCAGAGGAGATAGATCTGACATTACCCTGGGTTGCAAAAGTGCACCCTTCAGGCAGTTTCAGGAACTGCAAGGCTGCCTAGTACCCAGAGTGGTGATCCTGAGTTCACATGAAGTCAACACCCTGATAACAGAATCTGTGATGTTTAGGCAAGTTCCAACTATGTAACGATAGTCTCCAGCGCAAAAGCAGGGATTCTACTTGCTAATTTCTGAATTGATCTATTTTACTGCTTTTTCTAAAACATCATGGTTTTTAATGTTTTACTTTTATTTATAGAGAAGGGAGAACATTTATTGAATCCCTGTGTCAAGAATTGTGCTAGAACATTTGAAATATGGACTTCATCTGATCCTCACAACAACCTTCGGAGATACACAGTTCCATTTTACAGATGAAAACCTGAGCTCAGTAGACATTAAGTGACTTGTCCACAATTGTGCAGTTAGTTCGGGGAGCTAGGATTCCACCGCTGTTCTTTTAAATAGAGAGCCCGTGCTCTTCTAAGTTATACCATACTGTACCCTCGAATAAAACCCAGAAGTTGATTCTGACTACTTGGTCTTCCACTTGAAAACAGAGAACGCCAAAAGGATGTAACCTCAGAAAAGAAGTGTTTACATTCTTAAGGAAAAGGAACACCACTGGGCCACAAGACACCACGGTATTTTATCAGCATCCCGATCGTTGGCTTGGTTTTCCTAAAAAAGAGCACCGAATTGCATCAAGACAAAATATTATCTGCCCACCCATCAGAGCACCTCTTTACACTACCACAGCACCACCAAAATCATCAACTATTGTTCAAAATAAAAAGTCATAAGCTAGTATGTATTACTTGCACAGTCTCTTTGTAGAAATCAGGTGCAGGGAACAGTGGAACAAACGTGGAAGATTGGACTTCACAAAGATGTCAAGTTTTACATTTTGACACAATGCAACTGAATTGGCAAAAACTCGTCAAGTCAAGGACCCTACCAATCAAAGAATAACAGTACCCTATAACCAAATAAACAACTGCTATGTCCTTCCCCTTTAAGAAGTTTAAATAAGGTCACATTTATTCATTCAACAAACATTTATTGAGCACCAGCAACCGTGCTAGGTGCTAAGGAATATAACTGTGAACAAGATAATACCAGGCTCCCGCCTTGACCGGATACGTTTGCTCGTACATGATCTTGCTAGCGACTACATGTTCTCTGCTAGGATTATATTTGTCTGTTAAGTCGGTGTCAGAGGAGACCCCTTGAGGAACACGTCTAAAGTTTCTTTATGGCAAAGTTGGATAGAGATCTCTGTTTGACTTAGAGAATGAAGGAAGATGTTCTCCAGGACCCTTTCAACCAGCATGTTGAAGGTCGGACTGGCTCACAAGCAATACGGTGGCTGGCGAAGAGAGAGGCAGTTTAGATCATTCGGTTGCGCTTGTGGGTTGGGGATTGTGTGATGCCATCACCACACTGAGCTGAGCTGCGCTTACGGATCCCCGCACTGTCCAGGCGCAGAGCCAGATCTTCTGAGGTGAAGGGGTTCAACTCGTTCTCGAGGAAGCTACTTTTTCGACGCCCGTTACTGGCGACACCACTGCCTTGAGGTGGGGAGCCCGGTGCACCAGATCGCACGCTGATGCTCGCCATGGCACCACTGAGGCCATGCAGAGCGACGGCCTCGTGGAAGGGCTGCAGGTCGACGTCCACAGAGGAGCTGGCCTCTGGGGCCGCAGCCGGGCTGGGGGCCCCCGCAGGTGGCTTCGGGGGCATCCTGGGGGTGCGCGGCGGGGGAGGAGCGGGGGGCACCTTGCCACACAGGAAGCTAATCAGGTCTTCGCGGCGAATGGTGCTCCTGCCCTTTTTCACCCACTCCAGCACATCTCTGATGCGCCGCTGGTAGCCGACCTGGACGCCCAGGTCAAAACTTCGTTGGTGGGCATCCCCGCTCTCTTTGTACAGGCTGGGGCCGGCCATGGCCGCATTCTGGAAGGGGTCCCACATGGAAAGTCCTGGCTGTTGGCACCCGGAATCCTTG